CAGGTTTCTTTTTCAGGAGGCAGCAAATCCCTGCCCTCCTTGGCTTGAGTTGTACAACCACCTCACTAGGTGAGAAAGTCTGCAGGCTGTCCATGGTCTCGTGAGTACAACTCTCAAGTTTTCTGCCACCAAAATTTCAATGACTTGGATTTTAGTTTATTAGTGAGGATTGGAATTGGGTGAGAATTTGTTCTATAAAAAGTGGTTTTATCAAGTCAAGTTAAAGGGGCTGTGTATTTCTACCATAGCTGACCACTTGATAAGCCCCCTAGATGATATTATTCTTGCCTATTCTTCACAGTTAAGTCACCTTCCGCCTGAAGCCCCTTACTAGGCTTGTTTTGATTATTCTGTGTGCTTAGGACAGAGTAAGATCATGTGTTCAAAACTGCAAATAAAACTTGCATGAATTCAGATCAGCTCTCTTCTGTTCCTTGCTCCCTCTAATTAATATGACAGGAGAAGTAAATTTTTAAGTAATTACTTTTAGAGGTTAAATACTCCCTAAGCAGATATGTTATAAACAATGGATACCTGTTTGTTGATGTCACAGAAGTGGTTTTAGTTTTTCCTGAGGAAGCCAGGCACTGACTACTGTCTTTCCCTTTGAAATGAAATTCTTCTGCCTGGAATGTAGAGGAACCTAAGAGAATAAAACAGAGAGTCATGAATCAGGTCTGCCTCTCTCAGCATCTGTCTTTGTCAGATACAGTGGCCAGCGCATCCCAGTTTAAGGGGGAATGGTGGTTTTCGGCCCAGAGGTTGATTTTGAATCTTCTGTCCTCCATAACCACCATGCGCAGGTCCTTTTTGTGCCTCACCACTCAGTTGGGTGGGGCAACCTCAACTCCTGACAAGTTGAACAAGTATTTTGTTCACTCCTTCGAAAGTCTGCATGGTAAGGAATCCACAGCTCACGTTGTCAGGCTGTGGTTGGGGTTTGACCCAGCATTTCGCTGTCCCAGCATCCCTCTTGCCTGGCTTTACAGAGTACGTCATCCATGGCGCGTGCGCTCGCGTGACTCCTGGCCATGTTTTTAAACCCTTTGAAGTGCCAGGAGCCCAGCATGCTGCCTATGGAAGATTCATTGAGATTTAACACATGTTTTCGTATGACACAGCTGCCAAAATGAGGAAAAATTGCTTTAACCAGCAAAGTAAAAAATACCACCCGAGGTTTTGCACAGTATAGATCCAAATATCCACATTTTCATAGACAGTTGAATTTAAATTCTAAACACTTTAATTATAATTTAAAAATAATATAACTACATGACAAACTGAGGGAATGGGGAAAATGGTCTATGATGCCATCACCTAAATACAGCAATCATTTTCATTCAGTCTTTTTTCCTAATCCCTATTTTTTACAGAGCTGTATCATGGTATAATGCACATTTTATCTTTTTTGTTCCTTCAGATTAACATTCTCAAGGACTTTTCCACATTGCTGCATTGCTATCATATGTAACCTCATCTAATAGTGAAGAGGCTGTCCCATGGTTTACTTAACCATGCCTTTTTGTAAAAGATCTAGATTGTTCAGTTTGGCTAACTGAACAGGTGGCTAAAATCCACTCCTGTTCAGTTTGTCTTTGTTGAAGAAGCCACTACAGGTTGTAACCCTTCAAGTTTTGACCAGTATAAACCAGTGGTTCCAGGCACTGTTTAAAATTACGGCTTGTCTCTGGATGCATGTTTGTATCTTACTGCTGTGATGTCATAGTGGCCTTCAAGTGATCACTAATTAATTTTTTAACAAATAAAATGTTTTCCAGACTTGTGACATTTCTTAGAATTTTAAGTTAGACTTTTGGAAAGTCTTCAAACCACATTGCTTTCCCTTTTGGTATTTGCACTACCTCATTTACTGATGGCCTACAATGTATGCTAGTGACAGAACTGAAGTAGGAACTGACTTTAGGACTCTGGCCCTTGAGAAGTTGTTCAGAGAGAAGAAGCTTGAGAAAAGGTTAGACTGTCATGGCCAGCAGTAAATCCTGTTCCAGCCTGCTGACGGAGAACTTGCACAGCTGTTTGCCCATCTACAGAAATTTTATAAAGGCTTTGGCACCATGGTTTGATAGGGACTGACATTTTAATGTCTGGGGTCAGGCTAGGAGGATGCCTGTCAGCCTCATTAACCTAACTCTTTGGAGCATTCCCCACATCACCCAGGGATGCACAATGGAATTATAACTGGGTGTTAACAGATTCTGATATGAGAAAGGAACGGCTTTATCTTTAGAGAAGAAGCCTAGGTGGCTAACATCCACTTCTAGACAAATCTGATCTAATAAAAATGCAGATTGCCCCAGATAGAAATGAGATGAGCCCTGGAAGTTTTTACACCAGTGGATGCAGGGTTTCGTATTAGAGCAGGGCTGCTGTGTTGCTCCAGAGAAAGAGGAATGAGTGAGTGATTTTATTTTTAAAAAACACTTTAGAAGGACTCCTTAGCTTGAGCATACAAAGGAAGCCTTTAGAATTCCAGAGCAATATGAGAGTATGGTGGTGGGGTGGCGGGGTGTGGGGGGAGATAATAAAAGTCCCCTTCTTCATCCAAAGGGAAAAGAAGAGTGGCTTCTGAAACCAGAATTCTCACCTCTGCAACCTCTTCACAATTCATCACACGTTCAGCACTGAAGGAAGAGGATGGACCCTTTGGTCATATGAGGAAACTAATGCTGCACTGGGTTACACTGGGTTTGCTTTTTTCAGTGAGTGAGGCGAGTCTTGTGGTCTCAGCCTCTTACTTGTTCACCCACACTGCCCGTCAACTGCAGTCATTCTGGGCAGGGCAGGGGGGTGGGTAGCACAGATGGAGGGCACTGACAAGGTGGCATCATTGTCCTTTAAAAGCAAGTCTTGTTTCAGGTCAGGCAGACTGACTAAAAAGACGAAGATGGGTGTTCACAGGAGAATTCTGTATCCTGGCTCGCCCCTAGAGGAGGGGAGAGCATACGGCAGCTCCTTCCTAACTGTAAGCCCTGAATCCTACAGATTGGAGGTGGAAGTGAGGAAGGTGGAGGATGGCTGTAACAAACAGGCATCTGAAGTATCACCTAATGCCTCCACCACTACCACCCTATCTTTAGGAGGAATTTGAAGAGCTAACGCAGAGAAGACAACCAATAAGCAAAAATGAAAAATGATGGAGAATAAGGAATCTTCTGGGGGAAGGAAGATCTCAAGTCCCTGAAACATTAATTAAAGACTCCTGTTGTGGGAGTGTGCAGGCAGCGGCCCATCACATTCAGAGTGTCTAAAACCCGTGACACGGGGTTTCGAGGGATCAGGTCTGAGGGGGTCTGGGAGATGGAAAGTGGGCCATAGGGGAACCAGACTAGAATGTTACAGCACCTAGTTAATCGGCAGCCAGTCCATCACATTAAATATCCAGCCGTCATGTATTACCTTTCAAGTGAAAATGAATAACTCCCATTAAGAGCAAAATGGGTTTGAAGTCGATTCGAGACAGATTAAAGTACTGTTATGAATGTGTGTGTTGGGAAGAGGAGGAGGGGTCTGTATGTAATATGCTTGTCCTTGTACTTTTTAAATAATAGATGTTCTACAAACTTATGTAGACCAGGTTACCAAGATACTGGGGTTAAAGGTCACAAGATGTGCATTCTGGGAAGAGCATCCACTTCCTGGAATACTTCCTGCATTTCACTTTTTTTTTTTTTTCAAAATTATTGTGTGGCCTTATGATTTTAATGAACAAAATTGATTTTTTACAACTGTTTATTAAAGCACACATCTGTAATGACAGCATCTTGTGTATCCACGTCAGAACAAATCTCAAAGCTGGAAACACATGTTGGGTAACTAGACTGGATGAGACAGAAAGCAGTCTGACCAAAGAGTAGAAATGAGGCTTTCCATACCAATGACTTCTACATGGAGTCAGATGATTTTTAAGTGAGGGCAGCAGGCAGTGGGTGTGTCTTATCTCGCCACCATTTTTAGGATTTTTCTTCTTGCCTCTTGTAATGAGATTCTGAAAAATGGAGTTCCCCATCCAAAACAAGTGAGAGGGCCAGCCTTAAAGCTACTGACCAGGTTTCGGAATGACCAGATGTGACCACTTGAGGATTTGTGTTTATGCGAGAGGAGTCCTGCTTATTTATCCTGGTTAAACCTTGCTAGCCCAACTGTTTTCTCATCCAACTCTTACAGATCTCTTTCCATGATTCAGATAACTCCTTCCGCCACTATTCTGTACCCACTGTTTGCTGCTTAAGTCTCAGGTGACCCTCCTCCCTCGTTAGTGTTTTGTCTTTTTGGTGACATGGCAGGTGAGAGGGCATGGTCTGGGCAAGCAGATAGGAAACTCTCTCTCTGAACCACCCACTCTGAGTAAACTCTTGTGTCTGGAGCATTGGCTCGTTTCTAAGTTGGATTGACACCCTGCCTAGTTCCACTCTTAAGTTATGTCTCCCTGCCAAAAGCGAGTTGCTGAACCAAAGCTTGATTTTTTGCATGTGAAGAGATACGTGCAAAAAAATCAAGCTTTGGTTCACATTGATCAGGTCTCCTTTGATTTCAAGACCTGTGACAATAAAGTTGGGAGCATACCGTTGATTACATCTATGAAAGTCTGTCTGGTTCTTGGGTTGACTCGTGGTTGGCAGAGCAGTTGATGAGACTTTCCCAGCCACTCTCATGAGCCAGCAGGTTGTGTCTTGATTGGCGGGGAGGGGGGTCAGAACAGACTGAATGTAGGTTTATCCAACTCAGAGCTTTTTAGTCCATTTCTTCACCTTTTTCCATTGGTGTTCAGTTGTTAAAGTTGTGTAGTGACAGAAATTCACAGGCAACAGAAAGCAATGCTTGCTTCTTTCCCAGCGTGCCCAACAAACCCATCCAGATGCTCATTCTCCTTTAACTTGGGTGTTTCACAAACTATGAATGAATGACTCTCACCCAGCGTGCACCCTCTGGGAGCTGGCCTGGCCTGGCTGCTGGATTACATCTTCCGCTTTTCCTTCCAGCAGCATCAAGCCAAGCAGAGAAGGAGCTGACAGACTCTCCTGCAACCTCCAAACGCATCTCCTTCCCAGGTAGCTCGGAGTCCCCTCTTTCTTCAAAGCGACCAAAAACGTCAGAGGAGACCAAGCCGGAGCAGGTGAGGCCCGGAGGGGCTTTGCTGTGGGAGAGTATTTCAGATACCTGAGGGGAGCAGGATGGGGAGTGCAGTCTCGGGTGGGCGGGTGTGGGACAGACACTGTTGCTGCGGGAACTGCAGAGTGAACCGGCGGGGTGGCTGTGTCCCCCACAGATGTACCAGTGTCCCTACTGCAAGTACAGCAATGCCGACGTCAACCGGCTGCGCGTGCACGCCATGACGCAGCACTCGGTGCAGCCCATGCTCCGCTGCCCCCTCTGCCAGGACATGCTCAACAACAAGATCCACCTCCAGCTGCACCTCACCCACCTACACAGCGTGGCGCCCGACTGCGTGGAGAAGCTCATCATGACGGTAAGGCGGCCGGGAGCAGCACCTCAGGGCTCTTCTCTCCCCAGGGGTCAAGGGTGACACTGTGACACGGACAGGATGCTGTGCTGCTGGATGCCAGAGCCAGGGCAGAGTTGGAAATGTCAAAGGTGGTCCTGTGACCTCTGTCAGCCTTAGTCTTGGCATGACCGTGACCCAAAGGGCTCTGTGTTCCCAGCATCCCTCACCATCCTCTCCCCTCCAGATGCAGAGGCCTGGGGGGAGTTAACTGCAAGTTGTTATTCAGGTTCTCCAGGACTTTACTGAGCAAGTCATATTCTAGGTTGTTCTTAGATTCGTTGTTTCATTTCATCCTCACAGCCACTCTGTCTAAAAAAAGGCCTGACGCATTTACATTATGGCTGAAGAAACTGAGGCTCAGAGAAGTTAACTGGTGTGATGCCACTTTTAGGTGGCAAAGTTGAGACTTGAACCCAGATTCTCCCACTCTAAGAATGCAGCCCCGTGACAGGGGAGTCCCTCGGGTGGGTGCTTTCGTTCTCAAGGCAGGAAGATGCTCAGTTGGGTAGTACGTGTCGATTCATGAACAAGGGCTTTGCATTTTGAACATGAAATTGCTCTACCTGTGGGGCATGGCTCTAAGTGGCCACTGTAAACATGGCCTCAAAGATTAGTATCAAGATTTAAATATAACATAATGTGAAAACTTTTCAAAATTCTTCAAGTGATACTAATGTTTGTCCTAAGTCATGTTTCGTCATGAGGAATATACATTTGGTGCTGCGTCAAGGGAACTTTAGAAACGAATGGGAAACTACGGTGACTTATGTGCTTCAAGTGTAACTTTCCATGGGTATTTTCAAATAGACTGGTGAACATGTTGAAAGATTCACTGTAAGTGGAAACTTCCTTTTGTGGATGGTGGGTTTCTATGTTACAAGTTTCCTGGGAATTCTCTCCAGCCTTGGGATTTTCCTCAGGCTGTCATACTGGGTTGGCCAAAAAGTTCATTTGGGTCTAAGTAAAACTAAAAGACACATTTTTCCATTTTCACCAGAAACTAATGAACAACGTATTTCCTAGCTGAATGAACTTTTTGGCCAAACCAGGACTTCCCACAGCTGACCTGGAACCGTGGAAGCCTAAAGAAACAGGAAGAGATGTGAAGAGGGAGGCATTTTCAATACATTATTCTTTTGTTTTGGTGATTATTTTTCTTGTTTAATATCACACTGGTCTAGGGAATGTGAGCCTGTAGTAATCTGTACGATTGGTTTACATTAGACAGTGTTTCATTTATATATTCTTAAGGACCAGTATATAAATTTTATCTCAAACAGCCATTGTTTGTCATATTAATTCTTTTATTTTTATTTATTTATTAAAAAATTTATTTTTATTTTTATTTTTTTCCATTTATTTTTATTAGTTGGAGGCTAATTACTTTACATTATTGTAGTGGTTTTTGCCATACATTGACATGAATCAGCCATGGATTTACATGTATTCCCCATTCTGATCCCCCTTCCTGCCTCCCTCCCCACCCCATCCCTCTGGGTCTTCCCAGTGCACCAGCCCCGAGCACTTGTCTCATGCATCCAACCTGGGCTGGTGATCTGTTTCACCCTTGATAATATACATGTTTCGATGCTGTTCTCTCAAAACATCCCACCCCCGCCTTCTCCCACAGCCTCCAAAAGTCTGTTCTGTACATGTCTGTTTTTCTGTTTTGCTGTTTGTCATATTAATTCTTTTATAACAGCAACAGTGTGGTACAAGGTATCAAGTCTGGTGATCATTTGAGTCTTCATTTAACAACAGGATGTTACTGTTGTGTTTCCTTGGGTACTTAATTCTTTTATAACAGCAACAGTGTGGTACAAGGTATCAAGTCTGGTGATCATTTGAGTCTTCATTTAACAACAGGATGTTACTGCTGTGTTTCCTTGGGTACTAAATTCCTAAGATACTTGGGGGTGTTACTCAAGCAGTGATTCTCAAATCCTTTTTGGGGGAGACTGGTGAAAATGATTCAGTAGCCTTACTGGGTATTCTATGCATGCTAGTTTGACATTCGTTATTAAGAACTCTTTAAAGTATTGTGCATGTACAAAATTTAAAAAAAAAAAATTTTACTTGGCTGCACCAGGTCTTAGCTGCAGCAGGATCTTCAGTCTTCATAGTAGCATGTGGGATCTTTAGTCGTGACATGCAAACTCTTTTATTTGTGGCTTGTGGGATCTAGTTCCCTGACCAGGGATCAAACCCAGGCCCCCTGCATTGGGAGCGAGAAGACTTAGCCCCGGGACCACCAGGTACGTCCCTACTCGTACAAAATTGTGTGTATAATGCCAGGGAGCATAAGGGTACCCACAGTTCACTCATGGAGCCAGGTTAATAAACCCTGTTTGAGAAGACTTCCCCAAGAACATAATTGTGTAGGAGAAATGTGCTCCCTAAAGGGGCTGTGCTTGGCACCTGTTTAGAAACCCCTGTGTACCTACCTCATTTTCCCACAGCACACAATGGAGGTGATTTCTAGACATTTCTGAAAAAGTGTGCAAGTTGTGGGAAATGTGCTGACTATAGGAAGTTCATTTGCTAGCAACAGGAGACAGTTAATGGATTCAGAAACAGAGTTGAAAGTTGTGGGAACTGTAATCATGTAAGGGTTTGACGTTTGACTGAAGATGTCTGTAAGGTCAGTTTGGTACCCTTTCTTTGCATGAAGATGGAGTTACTGCATGACTCTCGGTACTGAACTGGTTTCTTAAGTCATCAGGACGTTTTGCGTCGAGCTAAATGAAGCCGTTCCTTCTCCATCCTTTAGCAGGATCAGCAGGAAAAAGAAAAGTAGCCAAGGTTGGAGGGCAGTTTGTGGCCATACTTTGGGGTGAACCCAGGCACCCTATTTGAGGACTGGACTGCTCATCTTGGTCTTTACACTAACAATTAAGTAGTTGCCACTGTCCTCCCTCTGAAAACTATGGTGTTAAAATGAAATTTTGAAATTGTTTTACAACTGTTTATAATGAACCTGTGGTTAAAATCATGCCCCTGGAGGCTATTTTTATGGCAGTTTTATTAGAAAACTGTCCAAGGGGAAGTATTGGTTAGACTTTTTGATGGTATATCTGTTTGTTCCTGGCCATCTAGAGCAGGAAACTCTTGAAAACAGCATGATGAGATATGCCCCTCAAATCAGAGCTCCATTTTCTAAACTGTATCATTAAGGAATGGTCAGTGTCCAGTCATTCATCCTCCCAGAGGAGAAAGTTATGTTTGCTTTATCTCTGAGTGGCTCAGATGAATGGCAGTGAGAGGAGTGAACTTCCTTGCCAGATGGTTTGACTGAATTAACTGCCTTTGGTGCAGACTAGGAAAACCTGGCACAATCTACCAAACAGACACCTCCTGGCAGATGTGGGGTGTGTCCATGGTATCTGAAGCTGTAAATTCTGGTAAATATTTTTTGCTGTCTGGGTCCAAGTTCTCAGGATCTGGCTTGAATTGGGTTTCAGTCTCTCTAAAAATTCCACCTTGATAAATGGAAATAGATTACTTTCTATACAATGTCTTTCCGTTCAGTTGTAAATGGAGAGTGTTTTGAGGAGGCTTCATTTAATAATACCTTATCAGACAGCTTTCAGGAACCTGCAGTGTCTAATATGTCTGTTGCTATGGTAACAGCTGCTTGCTTATGCTCTGCATCTCATATCTGTGTCCTCCATGGGCCCCCTTCTTTTTACCGATGAAGGGGCTTGAAAAATATTCTCCACCGGGAACAATTGCAGCTCTAGCCCTCTGCTATGGAAACTGCACCCACAGCACTTCATTCTGCTGGGCCTGTGAGAAACAGAGGTCCAGAGGGTGTCTTTACACACATCATAAGGAAGAAGGAAAGCTATAAAGCTTAAGGCAGTGAGACCAGTGCCCCTCCAGGCCCCACTGAGCGGCTGGCCCCCGACGCCAGTAATACAGCAGTCTCACCTAGTGACAGAGAAGTTCACGTCTGAGTCAGTGATGGGGGTAGAGGAGCCACTGCCTGTGCCACCTCTTTTTGTTCCCTTTTCTAGGGGAGGAGGGTTGAGGGCAAGGGGGCCAGGTTTCTAGCCCCTAAATGAGAATAGGAAAGACCACCTACAATAATTTTCAGTGGTCCTGAACTACTCTAATTGATCACTGTCCTTCTAAGTGGCAGGACACACCACTGGGATCGCAGAGCATTAACACAGGGAAACTGTCTTTGTTCCTCCATCACTTAGCAAAGTGTGACCTCATGGCGGGGAATGGGGCTAAGTCTGAAGCAGCCAGCAACACCTTTCTCTAGCCCTTCATCTTTGTTCCCTTCAGTAGTTCTTGATTATCCTGTATGTTTTGTACATGCACTCATTTCCCCTTCACAGCTCCTGGACCCACGCTGCCTGCAATTCCACAGCTCCCGCCCCCCCACCCCACCCCACACCTCACCCCACCCCACAGCTCTCTGACTCCTGTGATGTTTTCGGTCAGCATCTCTCTCTCTGCTCACCATGTGCCTGTACATCTGCGTCTCCAGACCAGGCTGGCCGCTTGGCACCCCCTGCACCGGGGCTCTCAGGTGGCCACTGGCCCTGAGGCTGTGGCACCCACTTGGGTACCAGCTCTCACTTTGTCTCCATCTCAGAGGAAGGTAATGAAAATAATCGGGCTTCATTAATTCCAAGTCCTGTGAGATGATAGCCATTTGGAGCCTGTTTGCCAATTAGATGGTCTAAATTAGAAGTGACCTTGGTATACTGCCACTGCTTGCCTCTCTGAGTCTAATGAAGCTTTTCTCTCCAATTCGCTCTCCTTCTCAGCTCTCTTTTCTCTCTCTTCTGCTGTATGTGTTTGTGTGTATGTGTGAGAGAGAGAGAGAGAGACAACTGTTCATGTGTTTCCTGTTCTCCCACCTATCTCCTTTTTTCAGTCTTTCTGATTCTTAGGTTTTTAAAATCTGGTTCAGGGCTACATTTATTTCTCGCCCACATGAATGTTAATAT